AATTTGTATTATAGGTAAAAGTAAAATGTAAACATTGTTTGATGTAACAGATGCAACAAATACAGATGTCCTCAAGCTTTTCGTCTTGCATTCATTAGAGTAAATTGCAAGAATAAACAGAAAGTTTTTGTATTCATTGCTATTTTTTTATTTGGGGGTACCAATCATCTCTTAGAGAGAGGTTTGAACATTGTTTCAAATGAAATGTGGAAAAGAATAAGAGTCCCTAAACTACTGTATATTACATGTTACATCTATTTGATAAAAAAACGTATAAATGGGGGCGGCTTATGTTTGCACGTGCTGATAGGACCAGCGCCAGCTGTTATTTTGTATAGTCCAGCAATGACCATAACATAAACTGACTCTAAATAAACATATTATAGTATACGCTGATTCCCAAACTAGTTTGTTGATACTGTATCACTTTATTCAACAATCTTATCCTATGTGTACATGTACAGCTCTTTTTTAACAATAAGTTTCTTCATATATATATATCTTGTATAAATTTCTTCTCGTGTGAATACCCTGAGTGCCCCCATCACTAAGCCCTGAAAGAGAGGCTTTCCGGGAAATTGAGATCATGATTTGCATGTCGCCAAATGATTGTTAATTTCTCTGAGATGGGCTATATACAAACAAAAATGACAATTTCAGTCTCCGAGTCCAAATGCCATTGCATATAATCACAATAAAATGCAGTTTCTTAGAGTCTGGAACTTTGACATTTTCCCAAATCTATGAGGAGAAGTACCGTGGCATTTGAAACATTGACTAGAAGATTCACACAACCTTTCCCTGTTCCATTTCCTAAATTAACTTCACTAAAATGGCCGACTTTCTTTCAATCTCTCAAGCTACTTCTCTCTGCTTAAAGGTACATCTAACTGTATCGTATGTATCATCTAACTTTTTCAATACAAAAGTTTTTTTTTTTTTTAATAATATATTGGTTACGTTTTAGACATAGAGATATTTAAAACGACATGTTTCATCAGTTTGGGGTCAGAAGGGAATTAACTCATATCATCATTACACAGATTTAACGCCCTTCTGGATCTTAACAGACGATTTACTCCTCTTGTATTTCTTTTTTTTCTCAGTATATTTTGTACAATTATTTGGAAGGAATGCCAAATTACCCTAAATTACCCCTAATTTTGTTTTTCTTGACAGGGATGGGTACTGTACACTTTTTATTTAGTTATTATGATGTCCTTTAAAAATCTTGAAATATTTGTCTATCCCAAATTTATAAATAGTACCATAAAATGTCATCTCAATGTACTGAAATTGAAGGAAAATATTGATATATTTTGAGCCAACGGGTATAAGACCTTCAGGTTGAGAGGAAATTTCTGACATTTACTGAACTTAACACCATCTAGAAGAGACCTTTAGAACTGAATAAGGCAATTGTTATATTGTCTTTAGTTAGGGAGGATTTTTTTTGATGTTTTTGACATTTTTGAGAGCCAAAAAGATGTTAACCTTGTGTATAATATATGAGCTAATGTCCTTCTGGCTTTAATTAAATACTCCATATGGATTCTCTAAATGCCGGTGCAATGTGAGTAACTACATTGTCGTTGTCAACTGAAATTAAATCCGAATTTGACGCACTAGGTCCATTTACACAGCCAAAACACCATTTTGAAAAATCATCGATTTTGGGAACTACCATTTACATTGTACACTACTGGAAAAACCCATAAAAAAACATTAAGATTGCTCAAACCACTTTTGGGATAAGTTGTGGCACCTGCCCTGCATGCCTTAGCAAGGAAGCGTGGAGAGACACTTGAGCAAAAAGCTGTAATTTTAATTCTGAATTTTGCATTTACACTGGCAAAAACAGTGAAACTTTGGCACGTGTTAAAAAAAATCAAACTCCAGAGGTGGATTTTTCAGTTTGTTTCATTTTTTTTTTTTTTTTTTTTTTTTTTTGGTGGGGGGGGGTCATGTTTGCTTGTACTTCGCACCGCAATGTGAGACAAATCAATGATTTTTGGTTGGTCGCAGTGTAAATGCAGCTAGTGTCTATGATATTTGAATTTGTGAGACACTCTAGAGCAAGTGTAATGAGCACCCAGCAGAGGGGGATACTGACACTGTCCAAGAAGCCATCATCATCATTTGTTGGAATCTCAAAAGACAGAAGGCAGGTTTCATAAAATGGTTAATTCTATGTTTGGCAAGTCTTTGAGAAAAAATCTCAGACAGGCTTTCTGCCAGCCTAGCTAGCAGAGGTATGATTGCAGGTGGGGTCGAATGATATAATTTTTGTGGCAAACAGTTCCTCCATATTATGCAACTCCAAGGCTGATGTTGATGCTTTGGCCATTGTACCATGGAGTCATTTTGATCTGAAGCCAAAGTCACTAAGCCAAAGCAACAAGAAAGGCGGTTGGATAACATAACATGCCGACGCACTACGAAGAACAGTACAAGTCGAATAGTGCGAGACTAACCTTACACATATAATGTAGGCCCACATACCGTATTAGTAGTTAAACATGACAGATGGGGTAACCCCAATATATGGCCTAGATAACCAACCGATCACCCTGCCCTGGTTCGTAGATCCCGCTTTACAATCCATCCTGCTATCAGCAGAGCGCCACCGAGGACCATCAAGAGGTCACGCGGCGATAGCATAGCTAGCCCATTATCGAGGCAGGTCAAGCAGAGTGCCGTGACTCGATAATTAGGAACCATGCTTACATTGATTTTGGGCGTCAGGTTTAAAACAATTATCTGGCGCAACAGCTGTTTGGGGTTGCAAACAGGTCGACATGTTCTTGGACCTTGGCCTGGATTTCTAAATGCAGCAAGCGCTTGCAAATTATACACCATAGGCCTGTGTTCATCAGCTTGATATTGCCAAATATCCCGCTATTTCAACTATCCCGATCCAAATTATCCAGTTAATTTGTGTCTTCATCAGCATGAAGTTGCAATAAGCAGGATATTTGGTCGAGATAATCATCCCAAGATAATTTGGGCTAGTTTGCAAAATATCCCGCTATTTGTCCGGTTCATCTTCAACAGCCAGAAGACTCGCACTAGCGCGAACGCTGAGCAAAATAACTAATTTCCAAGCTCGAGTTTCAAGTTTCGAAGTAGAGTCTCAAGCTAATGAGAACGCGATTTGTAACTTCGGGATTATTTCCCAATTCAGGAATAGCGGGCTATTTAGCAATCTCGAGCTGATGAAGACAGGCCTCATGAAGTACCGGTTAGAAGGGCAAAAATATGAATGGTGCAGAGCCTGTGGATTTTTCTATAAGTTTCTTTAACCAAACCTGTACAAAACATTTCAGTGGGACTGCATTGTCTTCAGTTGCTGTCAGAGCTACTGTAGAATATCCCATTACACAAGTAACCCTAACCCCAAACCCCGTCATAACGCTAACCCAATACACTGCACTGATGTGTGGTAATGATTCCGCAGTTGACCGGATTTTCGAAAATGTTAGCTTAGAAATTATTATTATCCTTTATCCTCTGAGCATATATATATATATATATATATATATATATATATCTTGTTTAATATCTCTATATTTGCAACTCTAATTTTCTCTTTAAAAAAAAGTTATCAACATTTTACCCTACTATGTAACGCGCATAGAGACTTTATTAGAATATAATTCGCTAAATATATATAAGAATCTACTTACTGTGTATTATTCATATAAAACTTCCCAAAATAAATTAAAGAAAAAATGACCACAATTTTGAGTTTCAAACTGTACACTATCACAATCACAAATCATAAACTGTACAAATCTGGAAAGCCTTCAACCGCATTCCTTGTGTAATTGATACCTAGAAAAGGTTGTGCACCACATACATGTATAAATTACAGTGGATACTAGACCATACCTTCATTGCATAGAGCTTTTCACCTTTTTTAAAGATTTTTTAAAGATTTTTTTTAATTGCACTTTCTAACCATATGCCCACCCAGTCACTCACCCCATCAAATATTCTCAGATTCATAAATCTTGCAAATTCATGCTGAGTACCTGCCCTCATCAATGTGGGCGGTTTCGTGAGAAAGAAGATTGCAGTGAAACAGTCACTGTTATTAAACAGGGCATGTCTTCTGTGAAGTGTCACCCAGTTCTTAGAGAAGAAGAAGACCTCCCAATTATCTTTGCCCTATACCACGCTAAAATAATTGTCACCCGTGGGAATAAATTATATCTTTCTATCGATCAAAGCAGTTTTGGAGAAGCGGCAGTTTTGGAGACGTGATACGGCTTGGAAATTAATGATTTCTACTGGAAGCATAGCTCTGTTTCGGTTTCATCCTTGCCCTTTCCAAAAAAATATACTCTAGACAGGTAACTGTTGATGCAGACTCAATTTCAACTCTTTTTATCTAAAAAATTGTGGGTTTTGTAGAATCCCAGCCCGGCAGCAACGTCCTTTGGCAAGACATCAATCCACATTGGCCACTCTCCACCCAGGTGTAAATGAGTACCTGGCAATTGCTGAGGTAGTAATGATTGCAGAACCCTCCGGTAGAACAGTATTGATATTGTTGTTGTTGTCTTTGTGGTTATCATTATTATTAGTATTACTTTTATTATTACTATTATCATCACTATCTTCATTATGTTATATTAAAGGGGCTCGTTTAGCTCATGCTGCAATCATTATTATTAACTTTTAGGTCAGTCAGGTATTCCATGACTGTTACAGGCCGATCGCCTGTCTGATTATCAAGATATTTATGATTGGAAATCGAAATTTCAAAATTTGTTTTCCTAACAGTTTTTATAATACTACATTGGGGGGAATGAGTATGGTAAAACCGGTGAATCAAAGATTTTTACTTTTTTGAGGCACTTCATGACCATTTTGAAACACAATTTTTTTTTTAGGGCTTCAATATTACATCATATTATAGACACTGATAACACGTAGGGCCATGCATCTCAGATTTAACATTGTAAAACGATCCCTTTAAAGCTTGCAAGACTTACCTCGGCTGCAGGAGGATGAACATCCACTACGTGAAGCCACTGCTTGAAGTTGGGGTACCTGTTGAGCTCACTGCACCCTGACCCGGTGTCCATGCCGTGCTTGCTGCTGGCCAGCTGGCGGCCAAACAGGTGAATAAGACGACCCTGAAACGATCAAAACAAAAAAGATCCATCGTTGAGCAAAATGTTGAAACATAACGTGGAGTTAAAAACAAAATGTTTTTAGAAATGATTCAGAATTTAAAAACTGGTTAAACCAATGTGGAAGAAAATTTAAACTTTAACATGAGAAAGGAGTTTTACAAACGGATATAAATTGCCATGAAACAATTCTTTACATCTACATGTACAGTATGTAATTCTTTGATGAAACATTAACAAAAAATCAAAAGCATTGTTTTACGAGTGGGATTAAGCCCTGTTACATAAAGACTCATTGATGTACAAAATAAATTTAGGCATACATTTTGTCAAAGTTTAGGTCAAACTTGATCGCAATAGCACAAAATATCACAGTTAGGAACAGGGACAAAAATACACGGGGCACGGGGTAAAAGAGCTCCTGAAAGTCATAAAAGAGCCCCCGAAAAAAATTGCTTAGAGTTCAATGCAAAACAAATTAGAGAGTGTTGCTTTCATGCAAGCAAGCTCGAAAAGTAACCCTCAAAATTTTTTAATATTTTTTCCCTGGTTGGGATATAAAATTGACCAAAGTGAGTGGGATAATTACTTTGTGTCGGTTACACTCCTACAGTGTACCCATATCATTAAGAGTAAACTTGATACAACATTTCCCTATTTCTTCTTTGGATTATTTTGGGGAAGGATGAGGTTATTTTCGTTACCAGTTGGTATGGAGCACAAGATTAACTGCTATGTGAATCACATTTTATTAATCCAACTTTTTCTTTTCATTTTCAGTTTTCACCACCTTCGGTGTGAACTTTGAATGGGAGGATCGAGGAAGTCACAAAGGGTACACTCATCAAATTGTAATAACGTCAGCTTTGTTTTCGCAGAATGTCATTGTTTCAATCGAAAGACATCAGACGGACTATAAATCAAGTTTTTAAAGCAAAATAAAGGGTGGCTCTCATAAACACCTCTGCTTTCCTGCTGAAATTTTCAACCACAGCAGTCCATTGAATCCTTCTGATGAATTTCAGTATAATTAATCAATTATGTACAATTTTACTCTGGTATAACAATCATTTTTCATAAAGTCAAGGAGTATTGAATTGACATGAGTTTTGAATTCAAAAGGTTTACTGATCAAAAATCTAAATCACAGCTTAAAGCTGAAACATCTTGAATTTACAAATAAAAATGCAACATACAAAATACATGCAAAGAGTATGATATGAAATTGGTAAATATAAAATGAAGACATTAAGTCGAGAAAATGATATGAAAGGAATCGAAAGGAAAAGTAGAAGAGAAGAAAAAAATGAAGGAAAGAAAAAAAGGAAAGATGGTTGATTACTTGATAGTAAATAATAGTTTACAGTTGATATGTTCATGCTGAATATTCCGAAGGCCATATGATGCACTATAGTAACATACATATGAATAGATCAATTAATTCTGTTTTTGTTTTCATTCAGTTGGGAAACAGGTAAATCAGAGGTACCAAATGTCCTTCACAGTGTCTTTGTTTTCTACATTAAGATCATAATTGATCATAAATAACTGCTAATTTAGACTTCACCTAACCACAGGAAGAGATATGGTATAGATTGAGAATGATTTAAAACCCCTGCGGTGAACCTGTGGTGAGTGGTCCACCCTAAAAACTCTATAAAATAAAGACGCCCACTGAGTCCCCATTGTGTATAAATTTCATGTGCATGTGAAGAATATCATCAAGCAGTTCTTGATGACCGGTGCAATGACACCTTGAACTTGAATTATGACCAGAAGGATGTCCTATAGTTACTGCATTCAGTGTCAAACTACACACTACTTGAGGGTTTTTACTCTTGTGTGTGACCTTTAGTGACTGTTCGATTAAAAAAGGGCCCCAAATCAGAGGACAATTTGTGCAATCTCCCTCCCCTGCAACTGTGCTTACAAAATACACCCGGATATTAAAGAAATACAAGTTTAATAGCTCTGGACAAATTTCTTTATATTATAAACAAAATTTCACACTGTGCCTGAAAACTGAAGACAGGTTTCTACTCGGTGAAAATACTTTCATTCATTAATACAAAATATTATTTAAAACCTGATAACAAAATATGTCATTGCTTGAAAAAACCTATATGCCTGCAATACTCAGTGAACGTTGTCATTTCTAAGAATAGAAACTGGGAATAATTGTTTTTTTCCTTCCCAGCGAGAAATAAATGGAAGCCAATAACAAAATACTTGGAAAAGGGGGAAAAGAGAAGGCTTTCGTCTGCCCTGTGAATGTGTACAGCTGTTCCTTTATCAAAGGGCGTTCACTGCAGTCACATGTGGGTGCTTGCGTGGGCGTGGGATTTCTGGCTAGAGATGTGCGATTCTTGCTCCCTAGCCCGACTGCCCGCTTGGTCGGTTGGCCTCTTGTTTTCTTTCTCTCAAAATAAGAGTATGATCTGTCTCAGAAATGTACATGCAGTCATGTACATGTACATTTCATTATGCTAATGTTAGTTACATGGGAGGGTTCCTACAGTTCAATACAAGATGGAGTTTATCATTTTCACTTGTAGCTATTGCAAACAAATTGTGCAATAACGTTCAACATGGTATGCCATCTTGTTTACTTTCTTTCAAATAGGAGTAATATTTGTCTCATATGTTCCATCACATAAATTCCACTCATACATGTAAATGATGCCACATACAAAAGCTCATCATCAAATCACCCCCTTACCAACCACACCCCAGTGAGACTAGAATCTCAAGAATATAATACTAACTGTTAATACTAACAATCTTTCTTTTTTTTTCTTTAATATCTTTTTATGCTCTACAGTTGTTTTCTGTTATCATCCTAACACGGATCTACAAATTAACAAAACACAGAAACTCACCATCTGTATTAAATCACAATACTTCCAAATGAACCCCCGGTAGAATAGAGTTTGTATCATGTGTGTTGGCTTGGCAATGTGCAAATCATCTAAGGGAAGCAGGATATTATGATCTTTGAAACCAAAACTGAGTCCACTTGTGTTTATGAAACAATAACCATGGTAATTAACTTTTTATGACAATAACATACTATATACTGCAGGCAAAATATAATTCCAACAAGTTTGTTTCACAACAGAGTCAAACTGAATAGCTGACCGTGGGCCTTATGATTTGTTAAACAGAGCAGTAAAGAGATTTTTCAAAACAAGAATGATGTCAGTTCTCAATATGGCAATGTAGATATTTTACATCATATATATTGAAACCCATTAATGACCAGTATTGGAAACGCCCCAATTTCAAAAAATTAAATGGAAGCTCTCATTACCAATCATGTGAAAGAATATGTTTTGACTAATACATGATGATAAAAAATTTGCCGGGAAACCGCCTACTAATTCATATATTTGGTAAATTTGTTTCTCTCATGGTCTGTGAGAGATATAGGGTAGTCCCATATACATCTTTCTGTGTATAGTGCTTGTAACTTTACGAAGAATGGGCCAAATTTCTTATCATTTTGATGATTCCAGAACCTTGCAGATGCTAGATGCTAGATGATCAACCTTTTCTGATCGATTCCACAACGTTTCTTTCACAATCCAATCGCATGACCATAACTGGTCTTTACCTTTAAAGTCTATAAAATCATTGGAGTTGCTGCCTTTTTGCTTGATTATACCCCGTATGTCAAACCGTATTTGTGAAAGGCTGAGATGCAAATTGGCAATCATTGCTAATCACTGCATGGTTTCTTCTATATAACCTTCATGATGAATATTATGTGGCTTCATATTGAATTATTTAAACTACAATAAATATTTTAAAGAGAGTACCATGGATATTGAAGAGAAGAAAAATATAATTAAAATTGAACATTATTATTCTAATGATACTTGAAAGTTGAAAGCCAGGAATCATACATGCAGTTTCTTCAGGAGTTTCTACGTGGACCCATACAAAAAAATTCTGTGATTCTTTAAAAAAAATGTACGATATACGAGTGTTGTTTCACTACGTGTATTAAACTCTTTTTGTCAAATATGCATAAAGAGAAACGATATTGATCAAGATTATCCCCATGGAAAAAGCAAGAGTTGGCCCAAGTGGGTGTTTATAGGAGCTTTAATAGTACCAAGATAAATTTTCAGAATTGCTTGTAATACATGTAGCTAAGAGCAAGTTTATTGATATTACAGATAAACTTGAGTTCTGGTAAAAAAAGAAAATGAATTCTCACAGAATCTAACGAAACTTACACTGAATGTTCAAGATTACAAATAAATGTCATGTGCCAAACAATTTTGGAAGAAAATGTATACTGGCTGAGTAATGAGCATAGAAAGATAAAGAAATCAGGGTAGTACTAGCCCCGAAACCATGTGTGTTGTCCCATATACATCTATCTGTGTAAGTGATTGTTACTTTACCAAGACTCTGCCAAATTTATGATGATTTTGATGACTCTAGAACCTTGCATTACACACCATTACTTACATGCTATATGATCAACTTTTCTGATCCATTCCACACCTTTTCTTTCACAATGCAATCGCATTACCAGTACTCAAGTTTATCTTTAATCACTGCAGCCACTGTAAAAAGAAATTGCTCCAAAACACCTCTTCATTTTTTCTGAATGTTGGGATAATAATTGTATGAGCTAAATCAGAAGCAAATTCAAATGCTTCCATTATGAACACTTTTTTGTTTTGAAGCAATTTTCTGTATTATTCTCCTTCCTACAAAACCCTATCATGGACAAGGAATAACTGGCTGTCTTCACATACATATACAGTGTACACTGTTCATGTAATGTACATGCATGTATAAATTCCCATTCCTGATCTCCATACATACATGTACATCAGGGTATGCCAGTTTGCATTAACATGAATCCAGGCACCCTGAAACCGAATCCACCAGACTGAAATTAGGAATGCGAGAGCAACTGCATTTTGAGGAGTCAACGAGAGGGCAGACCAGAATTTACTATCTTTTCGATCACTCTGCTTGTCAGGATAACCTAAATATTGTCTGTTTGGAGCC